CCAGCTCCGATTGAAGCTCTAAATTCAATCCCCTCCAAAACAAGAGCTTTAGCGTGTCCTCTACCCATGTAGTCTGAGCCGCGAGGGTTCGAAAGGACAGAGCGAAATCGGCAGCCGTCTTTCTCCCCTGAGAAAGAGTTAGCAGTTGGTCACCCGCACTCCTCCCCTCAGCTGGATGTTCGAACACATTGCGGAAGTGTTGAAGGAATGCATTGAAGGTGGGAAATGACGACCCATCCATCCTCCAGACAGCGGTGACCCACTCCAGCGCCTTCCCAGTGAGTAATGAGCAAACGAAGGCAATACGGCTAGAGTCTGTGGGGTACAGCGAGGGCTGTTGGTTAACAAAGAGCGAGCACTGGAGTAGAAAGCCTTTGCACCTGGCGGGATTGATTAGCTGGCCCAGTGTGTTGTGATTGGCTAAACCGCCTCTAGCGCGCGTCTAAACGTCCAGCCCCTCAACATAGCGGCATGTGCTACGGTTGTATTGTAAACAATGACATCGTCTAACATTAAAAAAGTGAAATCGCAATCAACCACCCCTTTAAAATTTTTTTGGAAACTGTGATACCTTTTTATTTTAGGATTCTCTTTGATTATAAAATTCAAAAGAACAGGATTTATTTGAAATATATATATATATATATATATTTTTTTTTTTCTTCTTTTTTAATGTATTTTCTATCACTTTTGAACAATGTAATATCCCTTTATGAATAAAAGTACTATTTTCTTTCAGAAAAGATAGGATATTACTGACCAAACTTATGAGCTTTTGATCTCTTATCTAACAAATCTGAGAGATTTGCTTCAGATTTATTTGCTCAGATATACTCGCACACTCTACCTTATTTGAAAGTGACACAGATTGTAACTGTAGGATAAATTTTAATCCTTTCCATTTCTGTGTGACATTTTAACATCTTTGCTTCTCTTTATCTATGTTGTTTCCCCCCCCCTGTAGGTAAAAGTAGCTTGGCGGATAATGGAGAAGACGACTTCTCAGGATTGCCTGTTGGAGTCTCACTGCATGGCTTGACAAAGACCTACGGCAACCGGCATGCTGTAGACAACCTAAACCTCTCTTTCTATGAGGGACATGTCAGCTCTCTGCTGGGTCACAATGGAGCTGGAAAAACCACCACTATGTAAGAGCATAAAAGCATCCTGCATCTTTAAAAAATGCCATTGGTTTTAATAAGCATAAAAAATTAATATTTTTGTATTTTCTTGTTTCAGGTCACTTCTGACGGGGTTGTTTGCACCAACCAGTGGCACCATTGAGGTGTATGGGATGGATATGCAGACATCTATAGATGATGTGCGTAAGGAGATGGGCGTGTGCATGCAGTATGATGTCCTGTTCGACCACCTTACCACAAAGGAACACCTGCTGCTATATGCTCAGATCAAAGCTCCCCACTTGACCAAGCAGGAAGTGAACGAACAAGTGCGAAGGTAAGTTTCAGCACTCCTATTACAGTATGTTTTTATGTTGTTCTCTTACATTCCCTTAGAGAAATTAACTTTTTAGAGAAGCTATATGTTATCTTAACTCATATTGCATGCAGGTTTCCAATGTGCCCTTAATGGTGTCGGGGAAGCTACTTTAAACTACTTTAAAACTGAAGCTTCCCACACTACAGCCTACTCATAATTTAAAGTAGTTCAGCTGCAAAGTCAAACTACACTGATGCTTATTATATAAAAAAACTGTGATTCTTCAGCAGCATTAAACACAACATTTAGATACAAAAAAAGAGGACAACTTACATGTACTTTTTACATGTACTTATATGTATGGGTTGGTAAAAGTGTGTAGGTTCAAATCCCTCAATGGATGGTCCATGAACACACTGTGCCCTTGAGCAAGGTATTTTACCTCAAATCACTGTGGATACTGTAAGAGTAACAGCTAAATGAGAAATATGCATTAACATGGTCCCTCTTTTTCCTGTCTTAGAATCCTAATGGAAACAGACATGCATTCCCACCGCCACAAGCGTGTCGGCACCCTGTCAGGAGGTATGAAGAGGAAGCTATCCATCTCCATTGCCTTCATCGGAGGCTCGCGGCTGGTGGTGCTAGATGAGCCGACCACTGGGGTGGATCCCTGTTCCCGACGCAGCATCTGGGACATTGTCCTTCAGCACAAGCAAGGTGAAATCCCCTTGCAATTCAGACCAGGGTGAAAATAATCTCCTGACTTGTACCTGTAGCAAACTCCCCAAAGGACTTTGTTGTTATCGGGTATCTGACACTTGGTTTAGAATTTAATTAGGCTTGAATGGATTTTCTCAAGGTGCGTGCAGTCAAATCCAGACAGGGAAAAATCCAGACGCAGATGTAGTTACGACTGATTGTTATCCGTCATGCTCCCTCTGATGTTTAATTATCTTCCTCGGAGACAGTTAGTGAATTTATCTCGAGCAAGGATTTAAGACCGTAAAAGAGGGTCATGTCAGATTCTCCTGTGCTATCTTTGTACATCAGCTCTTTGTTCAGAGCCTGTCTCTCTCTGTCTGCCTGTATCAGTGGATCTTTGATTTGACATGCCTCTGTGTTGGTTTTGTTTAACTGTCCAGAGCGTACCATCATTCTTTCCACCCATCATCTGGATGAGGCTGAAGTTCTCAGTGACCGAATCGCCTTCCTGGAGCGCGGAGGCCTCAAATGCTGTGGTTCGCCCTTCTACCTCAAAGACAAGCTGGCTAAGGGCTACAACCTCACCCTCACAAAGAAGGTACATTCCATGGAATATGTCAGTCACTCCAGCTGAGCTCTTACTTGAGTTCAACCCTCATAAAAAGTACCATGGTAGTACTGGAGTACAGTACAATGGTATAAGATTAATACAAAGATACGGTGATATACCTGTACACAAAACGTTTGGGATTGGTTAGATTTTTTCAATGTTTCCCTTTTTTCCATTTAAATATATTTTAAAATTCCTGTGATCGCAAGCTGTTTTTTCAGCAGTCATTACTTCAGTCTTCAGTGTCACATTATCCTTCAGAAATCATTCTAAAGATGATTTGCTGCTCAAGTAACATTTATTTTCAATGTTGAAAACAGTTGTGCTGCTTTATTTATATCTATATTTCATTATTATTTGCTATATTTTATCTGTATTTTTGTGGAAACTTTGATCCAGTTTTTTTTCAGGATTCTTTGAATATAACATTCAAAAGAACTGCATTTACTTGAAATCACTTTTGATCAGTTTACTACATTTGCTCGATTTATTATTTTCTTTCAAAAATTAAAAATGTATATATATATAAAAAAAAATCTTACTGATCCCAAACTTTTATACATTATACATATACATTATACCATATAACACAATGGTATATAATTATTATTGTATTCATATACCATGATATTACTGTGGTAATATGTGTCACTGTGGTATTCCAGAATTTATATTTTTATATAATTTATAATAATAATCTATATTTTATATAATTTGTCGTATTATCAACATGCATTTCTATGTTTTTGGTTCAGGTTCAGACTCCTGATTCAAATGAAAAGTTGAACATTGAAGAACTCAGGGCTTTCATTCAATCCTACCTGCCTGACGCTCGACAGAAGGAGGGAGAGGTGGGCGATTTGGTCTATGCCCTCCCACCGTACACCCCCCAAAACGCAGCTGCGTACCACTCTCTGCTCACCGGTCTGGATCAGAACCTGGACAAGCTTCAGCTGGGCTGCTATGGCATTTCTGACACCACCCTGGAAGAGGTAATTATAAGATGTTATTATAAGAAATTATAAGACCCAGGTGCAGGACTGAATTAACGGACTCGGCCAGTTCCACTGGGCTTCAGACTGCCTGCCCAGCGACCTTTAAAGCCTCAAGCAGTGCAGCCCAAGACTGCCAAAGGAAGCTGAATCATACTAGGTTCCTTGGGATTCTTGGCTCATAAAGTGCAAGCCTCACAATTTCACTCCAAAGATTCTAAGTAGGGCTGGGAGATATTTAATTATTGAAATGTTATTAAAAGTATTGAAGAAAAAAATCCATCCATAAACAGATTTGTGTAGGCTATTAATTTTAGTCATCTAATGCAGGGTTTCCCAACCTGACAGTCATGACTACCAGCTGGAGTTGCTGAGGCTTTTAAAGTTCTATTTTGTCTGTGAAAATTTGTTTACTTTCGTTCATCTTCAAAATGGAAATGTTTTTTAAATATTCTCTCATAATTTTTGTCCAATGTGTGTATGTGCCTGTTCACACCAAGAACGATAACTATAAAGATCATCGCTATTGTTATAGTTATCGTCCTTGGTGTAAACAGGCTTTAAATTATGACAAAATTCACATTTTTTATTGAACTTTGCCTTTAAGAAACAAATTGCATGCTGTTTTCAATATTCCCAAATCACAAATTGCCACCGGTTTCTACACATTCTACACTGAAAAAAAAACATGGTGTAGAGTTTACAATCTTCATTCAGAAATTGCTAGTAAATTGGGAACCTAATGTTAACCTAACAAAACCAAAGGAAAACATTATTCAACCCTGTCCAAGTGCATTCAAAATGACATTGTTTTTTCCCTCAGGTGTTCTTGCAGTTGACTCGAGACAACATGGAGCCTACAGAAAGTGAAACCTGGTCTGTATCAGAGTCTGTGATTGCGAATGACATGTTTGCGTCAAGAGACAGCATTCCTGACGATCTCAACAGCACGTACCTCGGAGAGAAAGCCAGTAAGTGGGCTTTTAGGACTAGTTTAGTTGCTTTCAGCAGTTTGTGGAATATTAGTTCCATGACCTGTACTTTCCCAATTACCCCTCGAAAGCTTTGAACTTTGAAAGCTCATCTTCAGAATTTCCCTGAATTGAAGCGGTTGAGATGATTGCCTCTGTCTCATGTGGCACACTCTCTTCTTCTCTCTTATAGGCGTCACTGGGACCTCAACCGTGCGTGGGCTTGCTTTGACTGTGCAGCGGGTGATGGCTATGTTGCTGAAACGCCTGCATCACTCCAGGAGGGACTGGAAGGGGCTGTTCTCCCAGGTGTTGTTGCCTGTACTCTTTGTAATTGCTGCCATGGGCCTGGGCTCCATCAAGAGCGATCTTCAGCACTTTCCTAAGATTGTGCTCTCTCCTGCACTGTACCACATTGATGAACAGCATACCTTCTTCAGGTCAGACTCACTTTGTTGTGTAAATCGCCTATGATTCAAAATAGTTAGGAAATATGGGTACTGCTGAAATACCCATATTTTTAATTTGTTTTAGAGTGTAATAATCTATTCATTTACATTTATGCAATTTGTAGACACTTTTATCCAAAGTGACTTACATTGCATTCACAGTACACATTTCATCAGTCCATGCATTCTCTGGGAATCAAACCCATGAGCTTGCCATTGCTAGCACCATACTCTGCTGTTTGAGCTATAGGAATATTTATTCAAATGTAGTCTTGTTTTATATTTTGATAATCCACTTAAAAGAAGGTTGATAATGTTGTTAGGGCTGGGTGATATCGCAAAAAAATATGTATGGGATAATGTACTGTCATCTGGTCATTATTGAAAATATACCAACAATTATTTTATGCTTATAACCTGCTAATTTTATTTATTTATTTATTTACTATTGGTTTGAAATTACCTAAAGGGTGATTTTTATAAATGCAAGTAAACTACAGTAAAATGTAAAATCTCAGAGATTGAGACATTTCTTTCTTCAGTGTTTTTCACTTAATGAACACAAGGAATTAATTATATGTAATCATTTTTATTTAGGCAAAAGACAGTATTTACCTCCATATACTGTATATTTTACTACAGCTTTTCAAAGGATGTAAAATGCCTCACCAAGACTTTGATGCTAACAAATCATTCATTGACTGATACAAAAGACAGATTCAACACTGGTTATCTGATAAAAAAAAAAAAATCCTTACTGTTAATGAGGTTTATGACAGAGATGCTTTTAAAATACCTCTCTTTATTATGGGTCACTGGCACACAAGTAGCTAATTTCCACATTTTGCTGATGCAACTAATGGCCAAAGAAAAGCACATAGAAGCATGTTGGTTAAAAGCGATATCAAATCTAGTGTAAATATTCAATATTTCACCCAGCCTTAAACATTGCCATTGCACGTTCTCTCCACAGCAATCAGAATCCCGCCGCCAGTGGTCTTGTAGATTCCATGATGTCCTATCCAGGCGTTGACCACGTCTGCATGAGAGACCCCACAGATTCGTAAGTAATCATCCATATATCTTAGTGATCCAGCACTCTGAGCTCAGTAATCAGACTGCAGGCCACTCTTAAGCCACAAGTGATTACATATCACAGCATCAGCTCTCCTAGGCACTGCAAATGGCTTTCATTTTTGCCGACTATGATTTCAGCCTCTCTGATCTTCGCAGGTCTGTTCCTAAGCTCTGGCTGCCATCTCTTTTGCTGAGCCCTGGGACTCTGATATTCTGTCTGCTTGTATCAGTGGGTCTTCTCGTGTTCCTGGTCAATTTCCTCACACTAATGTGCCACTTTTAGTTTTCTATCACTGTTTTTTGTCACGCTATTTTTCCATCTCTGCTCATCTCTTTTTCTCTCACTCTGTAGCTCACTCACAAACACTCTCTTGCTTTCTTGTTCTCTGTTTTTCTATTTCTCTCTTTCACCCACACATCTGAAAGCTCTGCCTTTTGTAATTCCACTGTAAGAGCTTATAATAATGCTCCTGTATATGGGTGTAAATCTCACAGAAGAACCTCACTGCGCATACAGTATTTTTGTGAGATTCACCCAGGAATCATTTGCATTTCTCATGCATTTCCTGTTTATAGGATCGATTTCTCACTGATACCTTCCAAATAATCATCACATTGTTCCTCTGCATAGAATATTGTATTCTTCTTCTTTTTGCTACAAGAAAACATTTATTTTTCTACAGGGTTTGCAAAGAGAGACCTACTATAGGAAGTGAGACCTGGATCTCCAGAGGCAACAGCTCTGCTACATTTACCACCTGCAAGTGTAGCAACCAAGTGCAGGTGGGTCAAACAGAGCATAACCATCATAACACAAACAACATTATCACATATCCTCAATAATGTGCTTCTCAGCACATTTAAATATTGATAAAGATCATTAGTGTTTTGATAGCGTGAAGGAGATTGTTGATCACAGCAGGGTTGCACGCCCTTCAGAATTGATTTCAGAATGCCTTTTAAATTCAATTCCTGACTTTGAAACAAAGCACAACACAGGATGAAAATTCTAGTTTAAGAAAGTGGAAACACAGAATGTTTAATAATTAATAATTAAAATGTAAAAAAATCCTATAATAATAAAATAATGAAATGAGAAAATAAATGACACACAAACATTATCATGAACAAAACATATGTTATTTACGTAAAATATATTTGATAAATAATTAATGTTGACACATATAAAACTTGTATTTAATTTGAGTTAATTATGTTTAAAAAAATAGCTTTCATTTTATGGAATGTGGTAGAAGAGGTGTTGTGTTTCTCTATAAAATTAAAATCGGTTGTTGGCTGTTTTTTCACAGTATTCAACTTTAAGTTAAGAAAATTGTACTTAATTTGGGGAAATATGTCACATGAGGAAAAAGAATTACATATAATGGAGTAAATAGGCCTAATTAGTCAAGTTAATGATGTAATTAAAAATTATTTGTCACCAAAATTGTGTTGATGTTGTGCCTGTTCTTCCTGTCATTTCAATTCAGCTTCCTGTGGGGCGTGGCCATTTCTACTCTTTGAATCTGAGAGCAAATTGTTAAATTTTTCCCAATACTGTATCATGGTATTCTAGTCAGAATTTCGCTCTCTTTTCTCTCCCTTTCAGTCATGTCCTGCATCAGTTTACGGACCACCTCACAAAAGAAATCCATCATCCCAGATTGTCTACAACCTGACGGGCATCAACATAGAGGACTACCTGCTGGCCACTGCCAATGACTTCATCAGAAACAGGTGAATTTTATCGCTCGTAGCACTTCACAGCATTAAACTAATTTTGAAAGATAATTCCTTTGTCACAAGTTCAAAATATGGCGAGATGGAATATTAAGGAATTTATGAACGGCTGGTAGGCTGATTAATAATTAAACAGGAAGCACTTCGGTTTATCCTGTCTTTACTGTGGCATTTCCGACCAGCTGACATTTTCCATCCTAGTCAAATAGCACACAGCACTGGGGCGTGCTGCTGGCATGAAAATACTTTATTACACCTAAAATAGTAAGGCTAGCATTTATTATTCATACATTGCTCTTCCAAAAAAAAAAAAAGTAATATAATGCCCAGCCCTGCCTCTGTGTGGTGGTGAAAATAAATAGTAATAAAAAAGGCAAATCACAGCTCTTGTAATAAATTGAATGAGAATTCAACAAAAACATTAAAGCTATTAATCAACAGTATATCAAGCAAAATGTCTTTAGTTATTGTTAAATATATTGATCTTTAATATGTAAAGAATATAGGAAAGAACATACATTTGCAGGTAGAGTCCAATTATTCTAAAATAGTTTTTTAAATCCTAGAATCCATGAAGCAAAAAGACCTACACAAATGCATAAATGGCATCAAAATAACCAGTATTGGGTTTCCTTAAAAAAATACGTTTTCTGTTAATATCTGAGAGGAAAATTTGCATCCAGTAAATGTGTACGACATGTAAACAAAATGTTACACCAGCCAGGAGTTATGAGTTCTAACGTAAGTTATTTTGTGCTTTGTTTCAGATATGGAGGCTGGGACTTTGGAAAGCCTCTTCCCATTGATCTTAAGATGGACATGTTAGATGTGCCAGCGAACAGAACCCTTAGTAAGGTAATTTGGATGAGTAATATTACATCGCCACAATGGCAAAGTGGCTCATTGTCCCTACGTAGCAGTTTATGTAGACACTAACAGGCTCTGTTCCAAAACTAAGTAAGCTGCCACATAGGCAGCATTTTAATGCATCATAATCACCCTCCTGATGTGAAAGCTGTTCCAAAAGGTAGGAAGCATAATTATGTTGCCCTCTAAGATACTTTTTTGGCAAACTTTTAAGGCAATATTGCTTGCATTCTTTGTGAAAAAAAATAAGAATCCTTTCAAGATGGCAAACGAAGCCAGAGAAAAGTTTATTCGGTACCAAAAAAGTCTAAGTACAAATATAGTGTTTTACCCAATATTATTATCCAGCTATTTTTTTCCCCGCCTATTAGAATATTGGGTTGTTAGTTTTCATGTCAAAGCAATGCAGCTCAGGACATTTTGGAACAGAGCCTTTACAAGGTGATTATAAGGGAATTGTTGTGCATTGTATTAATATTTGTGTTCACACAGGTTTGGTATAATCCAGAAGGTCACCACACCATGCCTGCCTACCTCAACAACCTTAACAACTTTATCCTGAGATCCAGTCTGCCACCAGAGAAACGACAACAATATAGTTAGTTAAATCTCTCTCTCTCTAATACTGTAAGGTTTTGTAGATTCTAGTTTTCTCTTAGAATCTATAAAGTTTATGCCGTTTGGGCTCAGTAATGTATTTTTTAAAAGATGCATTAAATTGATTACGTATTAAATCAACATTTATAATGTTACAAAAAAATTATATTTCCAATAAATGCTGTTCTTTTGAATTCTCTAGTCATCAAAAAGAATCCTGGAAATAAAAATCTGATGAAAATATAGTGTCGTTTCCACAAAAATATTATGCAGCACAACTGTTTTCAACATTGATAGTAAGGAGAAATGCTTCTTGAGCAACAAATCAGCATACAAAAACATTTGACAAAATCTTACCGACCCCAAACTTTTGAATGGTAGGGTATATCTTGTAATTTTCAAGTTGTGTAACATATGAAATGTGTTTTGTGTCCTGAGTTAATGTGCGCTTAGACTTGCATATCTAAAGTTTTGACTTGCCATGTAAGGTCTAATCCACTCATTCAGCTTATTCTGAGCAAGAGCCGCCCACTTAGACAGGAGAAGACTTTCTGAGAGACTGCAACGAACCCAAAGTTATTTTTGCTTTTTGCAATAAATACTGGGTCCATCTAAAATATGCTTTTTGCAATTTTCTGAAATATAATCCTTCCCCTCTGAGGCTGAAAATAATGTAATTCCACTACCCTTAGACAGGGGGCAGTGTGTCTTTTCTGTCTCCCGCCATGAGGCAGAGCGATCTGAATGCTGAGAACTGAAATGAAGGAATAGAGCTGGTCTTATTTCAACACTGCCAGACTGGCCCAGTGGCTGAGATTCACTGTCCGCCTCCAGGCAAGATTAATGCAATCCCACCAGTCAATAATGGAAAGGGGGGATGCATTCATTCAGATGTATCCGGTGAAGTCATTCAGGGCAAAACAGAGCATAAATTCAGAAAAGGTTCATGGGAGGAGCAGACGGCTGGTCACGTGTTTGCTGGGCAACTGTATATTTTCTCATGTGCTAAAATCTCTCTTTACAGCCATCTCTATATCCAGCCACCCTTACCCTGGCCAAGTGCAAGACGAGGATCTCATGTAAGAACACACACACACACACACACACACACACACGTCCCTCTGTCTGGCAGCTTAAGCAGATAAAGTACTCTGTGGGACCAAATACAGACTGAGCGTATTAGTAGGGCCAGTACAAAATCACAGACCCAGTGGTGGGGAAAAGAAAGCAATCAGCCAAATGATGGGCTTTAGATAAGATATGCAAACATTGCTCTGACATTTTCATTCTAGTGGAGCACTTGAACTAATGTAATTTGACTCTTGTATTTACTCCTCTTTGATTTTTTTCCTGAGCTTGGCTTATTGATTGCTAACCCAATATAATTTGTGTTTACTCTGAAGGTGGTTCAGAGGTTAATTGATTCTACGTGGCCACCCAAACATGCTTGTATTTTGAACACTATGGGCAATTTCAACCATGCCTAAATTTGAAAGACACGCTCTGTAAAATGAGTGCAATTGTTTCATTCTCTCAGCTGGGATGAGTCTGGCTTGATGCCTGCTACTTAGGCCTGAGAAAGGGATTTCTTGAGAGGGGAGAAAACATGCAGAGAAGGCAAGAAAATGAAGAAGAATAGGTTGGCTACTCAAGAAGGCCTCTGTGAGTAGCTGAAAAGAGCAGAAATACCAGACACTTATATCAAAAGCAAAGTCCCTTTAAGGCAAGTCAAGCACTTGGTGGCCATATTGGTAACAGCCTCAGGCAGCTGTTTCAAGTACAAATCGAGTGCTGCAGGAATGACTCCTAAAACCTAGAATCGAGTTCACATTTTTGAACTTCCAGTTTAAAGTCAATGTTTTTTTTGTTTTTTTTTGAATGGGTTTTGGGTTAAATGGCTGAAATAAGGTCTGAGGTTAACAAAAGCTCAACATATTTTCACGTTTTATTCTACAAAATGTATACATCAGTAAAATCCCACTCATGATTTTTAAGCTTTGAAAAAGGCAGTTGATAACAAGTGGCTAAATGAAACTACATCTACTCTATAGTGCGCTTTTACCGCCTTGTTGTATTTTTACTCATGGTCTTGCAAACTATTCTAACTCAAACCTTTTCCCAACTTGTAGATTTTAAATCAAGATTTGTTGGAAACGTAGTGGTGGTGAAGTCATGCGACTGTGGTATATTTTGTTTATAGCCTTCCTTTAACATTTTACTTCTCCCAGTTGTGTTTAGGCTTCAAAATTCCTTAAAGTTGTGCTCATTTGTGAAGATGATATTAAAATGAGAAAAAATACGTAATCCCTGCAGCACTTTATTGAATCTACTTCAAAATCTCAAAAACTGTCAAGATTATGTTTCAGTAACATATTTTAATGAGCGATTGCTAACCCTATCTCATAGCTGATGAAATCGGATTGTCTGATGGTAGCCATATTTTTGAATTATACATTTGTTGTCATCTTAGTTAGGACCAAATCGATCTCAAGTGTTTTAACCATAGTATAGCACCATTTTATCATGATGTTTGTCATTTTTATTGTGCCACCAACTGCCTAGAAAAGTTTTCTCTAAGTGAGAACGAATGTAATCAAAATGACTTATTGTATTCAGGAATAATAGCTAAAATAGGCCATGTCCAACAGTCTTCATTGGCCTCAGATGGCCACGTTGGATTCAAAGTAATGATGAGTGCTACAATACAAGTAAGTCAGCCTAGCAAGGCTGCAATACAAAGTTCCAAAATTGTCGAGAAAAGTCTGAAGCTGTAGAGAACCAGTACAATCTAGTTAGTTTCTATCCCTTCTTATCTGAATATCAAGTGATCCTCGCTTCTGCATTCAGGCTCAACTCTCTGTGTTATGGGTCTTCTGTCTTTCCCTGAGATCAGTTCATTCTTATTTGTCCTCCATTCTAGTTATTTTTTGGAGGCACAGTCGTTGAGAGCAGAGATGGGATGCAGAGGGGCAACATTAAAGGCAAAAGCTCAGCTGGTGTCTGGTAGAAGAAGTGTCCTGCTGAGACTGAACACTTGATCGTCTCTGACTCTGTCTTACACAATTCTCACAGATAGAGAGATCTTAATTCTTAGGGCTTTCATCTTTTCTCCTCACTGTGTCTGGTGCCGTGGTAAATGCATCAAGCTTGACTGAAGAGCAGTGTTAGGCTCATGTGAGAGACTGTAGGAAATATGAAGTGCAGTTTGTATTGTAAGGGTAAGACAAAATGACATGCATTTAAAACGTTTCTCACTGCACTTGACCACTGCCGTAGAATATCTGGTGCTCTGCTGGTGTTGGTATAAAGTGTGAACAATTCATATAAATGCAACCTTGGTGAGCATAAAAGACTTCTTTCAACAAATGTATGTATATATAAAATATAACAAACTAAATATATATATATATATATATACTGTATATATATATATATATATATATATATATATATATAAAATTAACCAATGTATAATTTATAATTTTTTTCTAGTTCATATAAGTGGATACATGTGGTCAGATACTCTCAACTCACATGTCTTCGAGTCCATGTCTTTAAGATTGAAATCTTTTTGTCTCCTCAAGGGTGGGTGGTTTGGTCAGCATCCTGGTTGCGCTCTGTGTCCTCACTGGATACTCTATCATGACTGCCAGCTTTGTCATCTATGAGGTTCACGAACATCACACAGGCTCCAAGAGACTCCAGCAGATCTCTGGCATCAGCGAACCTTTCTACTGGATCATCAACTTCTTCTATGACATGGTACTTCAGTATTAGTTGATAGATTTCAGCCTTTGAGATCTGTTGCATTGATCTGAAAAATCCAAAAACCATGAACAAGAAATTACAAACCAGAATACATGAAATAGAGGTACAATTGGAACAACAATAACCTTTTGTGTCTGCACCATTTTTGAGTTTTAAGATTAATATAAATTTAATTATATAATTAATTTAATATTAATAATATCCAAAATCCTTTATTTAATCCTCAGTAATAATATACAAGCCTTCTTGTAGCTCAAACAGTATAGCATAGTGCTATCAACACCAAGGTTTTGATTACCAGGGCCAAATGCACAAATGTAAATTAACGAAAGTGTTTAATATGCATATTACATAAGACTGTTTGTATTTGTATTTAAGGTCTTTTCTATGTCATTGCAGGCTCTTTACGTGATTCCCGTGGTCCTCTCGGTGGCGATGATAGCAGCGTTCCAGCTCCCAGCATTCACAGACAGGCAGAACCTCGGCGCGGTCACACTTCTGCTGGTGCTATTTGGGTCAGCATACATTAGAGTCCCTTTACCACCAGAGATTTTCCTGTCACAAGACAGACGTCTCATTAGAACGTCTCAGAGGTGACAGGTCCTCAAGGCACTAGCGCTTCATGAATGTATTCTTCAGCAAATGCTACACGTCGCAGCATTGGCAGAAGGGGAGGTTTTAGTTAATGCGTTGTCTTTCAGGTAAACACCGGGCTCTCAGCTAGAAAGAGGAGAGCTGCTCGAAGCTTTCCTGCAAGGCCTGGGCTCTGAAGAAGCGATTTCACACACTCCGTCACCCAGTTAATTGCATTGTGGAGAACAGTGAGGCCACTCACTGTCAGTCTTTAGGCTTCAGAGCTCCAGGCTGCTTGGGAGGCCCTTCATTGTGTGAAGTCAGCAGTCTGGCTCGCATTCATCTGCCTGTGAGCTCACCGGCTCTTGGCCCATAAATAACCACACATCACAGCAATCTGACCACTTTCCCTTCAACCTGCTTAATTGCTTTTGTTTAGCTGAGCAGTATGGACTTTCCACCACTAACAATACACGTACACAGGCCAGGGAACGTGCACATATTCACACATGTGGTACCCCCTCAGTTTAAACACATCCTCTTCCTTGACCCCGCCACCCCAATCACCAAGAGTAATGAATAAAAAAGCAGATCATTCTGTGGAGTTGAAGAGGAAAGAGAATGCTTCACAAAGAGGAAATAGATGAACTCATTTATCTTCTGGCCTCTTAGCTGAACTGTGGAATATTTTCTCACTTTCTTTGCTAAACTCAAAGCAGAAGTCTTACTATTGCTCTTTTGTCTTCCTCAGTGTTGTAATTCTTCTCTTTAGATGTGTCTTTGAAGCTTGCCACTTACCACATTGATTTCATGGTTTCTTTTCAGCTTCTCCACCTTCCCTTGGATGTACCTTCTGTCTGCGGTATTTAAGGATACTGAGATGGCCTTCATCGGTTATGTTTGCATCAATCTCTTCATCAGTGTCAACACCATCATCTCCACATCCATTCTTTACTTCCTGGGTCAGCTCAACCAGAATGACCAGGTGAGAGAAGAGTCAGAGGGACTTTAATATAACCATTTTCACAAAATAAAACAATAAAACATCAACATTTATTTTTAAATAGAAATATTAGCAACTGTTTTGATTGTCACTTTGATCAATTTAATGCATCCTTGCTTAATAAAAGTTAAAATAAAAAATAAAAAATCTTACTAATAATATAATATAATATGATATGA